TTGAAAGAAAAGACTGCCTGCCTCTGTTTGTGTTTGAGTCCTTCCTACTCTGAGAGTAGGACAGCTCTCCACTTGCATAATAACAATAACACAAGTTTAAGGAGATCAACCCTGTAAAATTCTACAAATCTAAATATTTGGTGACTGTATTAGGAAATGCTGACAATATTCATTACATGAATTAAACACCCTCTATGTTATAAGTTACTTTACCACACCATTTTCCTTTTCATACAAACAGCTTACTTTAACTAAGAATAATACTGCTGTTGTCTGTCTTCTTGTAATTCTGCCAACTCTTAAGAAAATACTTCATTTCTTAAGAACCTTAGATGTTAGAAACTACTAAAGAGTATAACCCCTGGGTACATTTTTTTTTACATGGTTAATTTAAGCTATGGATTAGGGGGGAAAAACTACCAAAATGTCACATATCCAATGACTTCTTTAACGTAACCCCTTTCATGATTACTAGTCCTTCCTAAAGATTCCCAATATCAGTTTCAGTTAGGAGGGTTAGGAAATTACTGTAGTTGTAGATACACATCCATTTGGCTTTCAGTTCTTTCCCCACTGAGTGTATGGCATTCAATCACATTTTTTTCATTAGGCCTTCATAGAACTTAATTTTTTGTTGCTGAGCTAGTTGCTGGATGATGTTATACTCATAATTTCCAGGATGTACTCCAGTTCTTAACCTTTTGTTTGTGAGTATTTCCCAGTAGTGACTCCAGTTTCCATCACTGTCAGCGCCATAACCAAACACATCAACCTGGGAAGACAAAAAATGAACATATGAATGAATGGGAAACAAATGCATGAACAAAATGTCCCTTTTTTAACTAAAATCCAAACAATGGCTGCTGAAAAATGAAATGAACAGTTGGACAGCGAGCTGAGCAAGCACTAAATGGAAACACCATGATTATACCATGAGTATACAATGACAAAACCTCTTATTGAGAGGTTTAGCTAAAAAGCTTTCCATGAAGGACTGTCTTCTAGATTGTAGTCTACTCAATTTAAGAAGGGAACACATCAGAAATACTTGCGACAGCTTTCACTTTCATAGGACATGTGAACTGAAATTTAACCATTCACAGTTTTTTAGTCAAGTGGTACTGGTGGGTAAACCTGCTCTGATCTTCACTAAAGAAATTTTGAACTTTTGAAATGCACATCTATTTAGGAGAGCAATATAAGAACAAAAGAACAAATTAGCAAAGACTCAAATGGACCAGCTTGTATGACAATAAAAATCATATTTTATTTTGTACGTCTGGCACTTCAGAAACTTAAAACTTTGTACTTACCTCATCACAAATGTGAAGTGCAAGAATCAAAGCCATAAAGCCAGTGGATGGATAACGTCCCTTATTTCCAAGCCAAACCTCATGTACATATTTCATGAAAGCTGGATTTACCACCATGACCTGTTAGAAATTAGAATGAGCCTTTAAACA